AAGCTTTTAAGACCCCAGACGCTATATCTTTTGATAGCCGGGCACCATCAGCTTTCTTCACCACATTTGCTTATTCACCCGCTTTGTCATCAGCACAATCTATTTTCATACTTGATTCTGAAACACTTTGATTCCCTTTATACTTTCAGATTTTATATAAAGGGTTTTGAAAATGCTTATACATACCATTTATACTCGAATATAAGCTGACCTGAATATCAGCCGAGGCACTTAATTTTACCACCAAAACTGCATTAAAAATGTGCTGAAAAACTCGGCTTCCACATGAGTATATATGGTAAGTACATTATTTAAGCCGTGATTGTTATTTTTTAGATTATACTTATCGTTTACTCTTTATCAGTATTATTAGTCACTACTGTGATTTCTTTCTGCTTTGTTTTAGTTCAGCGATGGAGTCCTCAGTTTTAGAAACTGGCCCACTTTTTACTTCAGGAATTAAGAGATATGTGAAAGACCGAAGAATTTCAAAAACTGCCAAGTTGAATGTTTCTCTGGCTTCAAAAATCAAAACAAAAATAATAAGTAAGTGCCATTAGTTTAGGTGTCTACTCACATCTTTAGTTTTTCTTGTAGAGCATATAGAGTACTGGGTTCCTGATTTTATCAAGAATAGAAATAGACAAAAATGATTGAAGGTTGTCCCCAAGTTAAGATCTTTTCGAGTCACGGTAAACCATGCTTAAGACAGTTTGTTTTTTGGTTTTTTGAGTACATCTTATCATTAGTAACATGTTACACACATTGTTGCAGTGTATAAGTTGGGGATGTTATCACTCTCGTGCCAACCACCAGAGACAAGGATCAGATGTATAAAGGTACAGATAATAAAAGGCAAGAATGAGAACGAGGCAAGAACATGAAGTCCGAGAGTTATATCAGAACAGAGTCACTGTGCACTTGTTGGGACAGAGCCCATCGTATCTGGGGACTCCCCAGGTTTATATTAGTCATCGATATCTGTTTTACCAGATGCCTTTTAGCTCCTTCGCCTCCTGTTCGGTGGGTCGGTAAAATGATTTCTCCCTGTGGAGGAAGCTGAGTTCTCAGCAGTGAATGTTGGCTGGCCTGAGTTCTCGCTCGGTTCCTATTCCTTCTGCGTTCCTCAGGCCTGTTCTTCATCTTTTCTCAAGCGTATATTAATTTAGCTCCAGGCGCTGGAGTTTTAAAAAACTAAGTATGTACCCACCTTTCTCTTTCAACCTTCAGTTGAAACACCAAGAGAGAAAGAAATATATTTTGTTTAAAATAGTTTTAGTAATAAAGAATAAGATATTTTATTAAGATACAAATTTAATATTAACTCTTTTAAAACTCTTTTTACAGACAATTCTTCTATTTTAAAAATTTCCTTAAAGCACAACAACAGGGCATTAGCTCAAGCTCTTAGTAGAGAGAAAGCGAATTCTCGAAGTCTTACCACCGAAAAGATGCTGTTGCAAAAAGAAGTGGAGAAACTGAATTTTGAGAACACATTTCTTCGCCTAAAGCTAAATAATTTGGTATGAAAATTATACTGTGTTAACATTTTAAAGCATAACTAAAATCTCTTAACTACATTATTATAAAAGCTGTGCAAATGCTTTGCAAAGCTACAATTATTGTAAGAAACCATTGACAGTCAATGTGCCATGTAAATCTTATTAAAAGGCAAACTGCTAATAGAATAATAAAGTAGATGTCAAATTTGCATTCCAGATGTGGGCTTTGTAAACCAATATGTTCCCTTGGTCAACATTTAATGGCTCATGAGCAAAGCTAGGTGCATTAGTGGTTCTGCATGAAAACTGTGTTAGTCCAGGTAGACTAGAGAACCAAATCTAGGGAGACTCATATGTGTCAAGAAAGAGGTTTATATACAAGAGCAATTGAATTGAATATTGAGAAAACATCCCAACCCAGTCCAGATCAAGTCTATAAATCCAATATTAGCCCATATGTCCAATACCAACCTACAAATTCCTTTTCAGACTCATGAAACGCATGCAGTGATGCCAAATGCAGGAAGATCACAGGCCAGTGAGTGGGAAGTCTTGTGGATCCAGTGGTGTTGTAACCTTCTCAGCGCTGGCAGGGGTCTCCACGTGGCTTCTCCAGCTCCAGGGCTCTAGTGTTGCTCCATGTGTCTTGTCATCAGGAATGTCTTGCAGGGAGAGAATGTATCTGGCCTATTTATCAGAGCTATTTATCTCTGTTGAGCCTCCAAATGAGGTCTTCAAGCTGCGACTTGATTGACAGGCTAGACCTTACCCCTTCGCAAGTTGACAGGAGATTATGTAACTGCCACAAAAACTTTAGCAAAAGTTCCCAGAGTGTTTCAATTCTCCCTTAATCCCAGCATTGCCTTGGCTGCAAGCAGAGTAGAATAAAGGTAGTAGCTGCTTTCCCTGCCAGCTCCTAATCCCGTCCACAGACAGGACAGGAAGAGCCAGTGGTGAGCTGGACTGTTGAATCGAACACAAGTTGAACTTAGAATGAGAAAATGACCATCATACTTGAGGTTTGAGTCTCTCCCTGTGGCTGACAAACTATTTACTTGCCATGCAATATATTATTGTGTGTTATTATGCAAAGATGGAGAAAATGTTCATAGGAAAACTTACCATTGATACATCAAAAGCATTCATAGTGTGTAGACAGGATGGCTATTTTGACTATTACAACATAGAACCTTTTTAGCTTAATGTACAGTAATTGCAAGTGTTTTCTAAATCTTCTTATACTGAGGTATTCATAATGTGTGACATGATCATAAACTCCAAATCTTATTCACTAATAGGAGTCTTCTTTATTTTATGTATACAGAATAAGAAGCTTATAGAAATCGAAGCACTCATGAATAATAACTTGATAACTGCAATTGAAATGAGTAGTCTTTCTGAGGTAAGTAGAATTTATATGTAAGTAGTGTAATTTGTAAGCATTACTGAAGATAATTGAAATTGGCTAAATCGCATCAAAGTTAGAGATTCATAGTTTAAAATTTTTAGAAAAAAATGAAGATAATGATTTTAACTGACAGCACATTGTCATTTAGCATAATCAATAATTTGAAATTACATAAATATTAGGTTTTGATTAAAAGTAATATTACATTTAATCCCAACCTAATATATATATATTCAGTAATTAGATTGGGCAGCTTAGTGGAACGTGGAACATAAGCACATTGCCGTTAAGTTGATTCTGACTCTTCTTGACTTTAAAGGACAGAGTAGGGTTTCCATCTTTGTAGGGGAGCCCTGATGGCCTATTGTGCTATGTATTGGGCTACTAACCACAAAGTCAGTGGTTCAAACCCACCAGTGGCTCGCCAGGAGAAGAATAAGGCTGTCTACTCCTAAAAAGATTTAAAGTCTTAGTAGCTCCAAAGGACGGTTCTACTCTGTCCTCTAGGGTGAGTAAGATGCGACTCAATGGCAGTGAGTTTGGTTTAGTCTGGTGTACAAACCTCCATGGAAGCATGCTTCTCCAAAGCAGCTAGTGGGTTCACATTGTAAACTTTTCTGTTAGCAGCCAACTGCCTTAACCGTGCTACCAGGGCTCCTATCGTGGAACATAATGGTTCTTAAACAGACAGACTAAAGTTACATAAAAGAAACTAAGGATGGTAGCACTCCAGGTTGTCATGAGGGAAAAGGAGAAGGACTCAAGAGGGAAGACCCTCCTGAGCTGCTCCGCTTGCCGGTTTTTATTTGCCCGCCAAAGGAGAAAGTTTACAAAAGTCAAGTACAGGGGCCATACTAGGACACAATGACTTCTGGTGGAAGATGTTTCCTGATTCATAATTAGCAAACATTCTCATATAATTCACAGATATTCTTATATGAGCACCTGCTGTCTGACCTCCAGCAAGGAACTTCCTTATCACTCAGAGTTTGTGCCAAGTTCCTGGAATGTGCAGTTACACGCTGAAGATTTACTCATAGTTTTTGCACCCAAACTAAGTATTAAGATTTACCATTGATTTGAGTTTCTTGCTGATTCATAAGTTGTTTTCTGAGGGCGGCCGAGTGATTCATTTGGGAGCTGAAGTTAGTAGAAAAACTAACTAAAAACTAACAAAAGTTTTTTCGAATTCTCATGAGTGTAAGGTTGCATTATAAGGCAAAACATTAACACAAGTATGTTGATATTCTTAATCACACTTCAAGGTTTGTCTTAAAGCTTGAAATTCTGGTTGGCCTAGCGTTTCAGTTGTCCCCAGGTGACTCCTGTTGCTTGTTGAGTTTGAGGTAAGGAGCCTTTTTTAAGAAATGTTTAACTCTTCAGTGTGTTCGTTTTACACAGGTCCTCTTCCCACCAAGTCCTTTTGTGCTTAACATGTTTCACAGGGTTCTTTGTTCGTTCTCTTAGCTAGCAGGTCAGAAGCCTCTGTTCTGTCCCTGTTATTCCCCCCTGAAGAGAGCCGCACCCCGAATTGTTTTGGGGAAATGAATGCAGACCTATCTGGCTGCTTCAAGATGGTAGGGGTATTGTTGCCATATGAGTCTGCTTTCTTCCATCCCACCCCATTCTTTTCTCCTCTTGCCCCTGGGAACCATGAACTCACAAACAGTGGACTGGCCTTCAAGGTAGGAAGTTGCAGCCTGATAGATGCTTCATAAAGCAGTCAGCTCATTCACTCATAATCATCATCTTTATATGGAGCCATTGAAGCCTGGAAGAGACAAACTTTCCTAGAGTGTTACAGAGGCACAAGTTAAACTTAGCAATATGGGCCTATGTAGCCTGTTTCCACTAGCTAAATTGCCGAGACAAATCTACCACAAATGCTTTTGTTCCAATACTGGTGACCTGAGAAAGTTGTAGGAAAGACTTCCATACGCCACTGTAACAGCTTATGTCAAGTTGTCAAGAATAGAGGGGGTGGTGGTGGTGAAAATGACGTGGGCCTGCGGTTACTTTTAGTGTAGGAGCAGAGTTGAGTTGCCCCTGGAAGTTCTTGAAGGTCTCTAATTGCACCCACTAGCACTCATCTTGAAGGGTGGTATGGCTTCACTCAGTTTATGAGAAAACAGCTTCAAGGCTTTTTAGAGTCCACGAAGACTGAGGTTAATTTACTTTCCCCCTGGTCAATTTTAAGAAAAGACAGGCTATGGCAGGTCATGAGGATCAGTTCTAATAGACGTTCAGTATTTTCTTACAGTGTAATCTTTCCATTTTAATGAATTCATTCACGTATTAACTCTGTACAAACAACTTACTGTGTACTTTCAAGTTTCTTTTATCATCGGCCACATTCTGGCACAACTGGACGCTTTAAGACGGAACTACTGTTCAACTACTCTGACTTTCTGCCACTTACTGTATCCATCTAAGTTGTTTCCTTTTGCTAACTATTACATCACAGACTAAGCAATTGCTGAATGTGAACATATTAATCACTTTTAACTAAGCATCAGCAGAGGCTGAGGTTTGCCTCTAGAGGGAATTTGTGCTTGTCTTTCGGGCTCAAGCAAGCACCAAGGTCCAAGCGTACAGCAGTCTTGTGAAGGAAGGGAGACAGAAGCCTCCTCCAACTACAGGCGTCAAATTCACTCAGCTTTTCTGTTTAGGTTTTTGCTTTTTAAAAGAGGAGTTTTAAGCTTTAGTTAGGGTTGCTAAATAACAACACTTGTTTAGGTCTTTCCTATATATTGGTTGTAATTGCTTCAGTGGCCTTGCGGTTACCTTTTGGACATAGTACTAATAAGACTTGCTGCACTTTCCCAGGTTTATGTTTTAGAAAATAGCTTTCCTCACTGGGTCTTTTAATGACTCGATGGAAAATGGGTGTGCTATACAGGAACTCAAATTGTGATACTTTTGAGATGGAATGAGGGGAGGCTTTATGTCTTATAAGAGCAAGAGAAACAGGTGCAAAAGCCATCTGAACTCTTAATTTGAATTATAAAACCTCTTCCTAAAAGTGAAGCAGGGGACTTGGGAACAATTAAAAACTGATGTGAAGATAAACAGGCCTCCAAGGTACAGGGCCGAAGAGGTGTGAGAAACTTCGTACTTGGCAGCCCGTTGATGCCAACAAAATGGAAATAGATGGAAGTCAAAAAACCACCAAAAGATTTTCATAACAAATATTCCGCTGCCGTGTCCAGCAAAAACAGACAGACATCCAGGCAAGATCCACACATACCCACGGCTCCTTGAGTTTAATGTTGATGGTGTTGCCAGAGGAGTTAGGGAGCAGGGCTCCCATCAGTCGACAGGTTCTGTTACCACCAAGACTTGCTTCCAGCACCCATGAGCTCAGTGTCTTGGAGTCTCACAAGAGAGAGCTTCCCTCCCACTCCCATGTCTTGGGGTGGTGGCAGGAGGAGACCTCTGTGACACCCCTGCTGGACACGGCCAGCCTTCTCCGGGCCGGGGCAGAGTCCTCATACTGTTAGAGGCCGCAGCAGCAGCCCGGATAATTTTAGCATTTTAGTGTTCTTTCTTTTCCTCCTTCAAATCTCAATTGTTGTACCTTAAGGTTGCTGCTCTTAGGAGCTCATTAGGGTCAGTCTGGGTATGGAAGGGAACTAAAGCAGTTCAAATGGAACTCCAAGTACTAAGAATTGGTACAAGAATCAGTTCTTGATGTACTTTTTGCTCTAAGACTTTACCAACTTGTTCCCAAGTTCAATATTTGCTGTTCCATCATCTTGGAACCACACACAATGCTGCCAATTAGAAGCAGCTGATAACGTGCTTTCTCATCCATGAGCGTGTACCATGAGCAGCTTCAAGGAGCTGTTGGACGGACTTTAAATAAACCCATTGAGGCATTGTTAATTCCTGCCCCATGCTAGACATCCCTTTCGGAACCTACTAGCATTGACCTTTTTCAGCGAGTGAGGACTGTTCCTTTCCGGAATTCTCGGGGATGACTGGCCATTGCTTTCGTTTTCTTCTCGGTGCTCATCACGTGGTAGCACTCCAGCCAGCTGGGAGCTCCTTGAGACCTGCAAAGAACGACTCAAGACTCAAGACCGAGGCATGAGGGAAGAGGAAACGACTCAAGACCCTTTTTTAAAAAAATTATTTGCATGCCGAAGGAGGACGTTTACAGAAGTTCAAATGCAGGGCCAATATTAGGGCACAATGACGCCAGGTGTAAGATGTTTTCATGATTCATAAGTAACAAACCATAATCATGCTAACAAATATTCTCATATGATTAAGAAACATTCTTGCATGCGAGCACATTTTGACCTGATGTTCTTTTAGTCCCCAGCAAGAATCTCCTTATCACCCAGCGTTTGTGTCAAGTTCCTCGCACACGCAAACAGTTACACACTCAAAAAGTTTACTCATCGTCTTTGCACCCAAGCAATCCTCCCTATTCTAGGGGGCAAAGGACAATGTTTCCCTATGAGGGATTAAGTAGAAAGTAAAGATAACATTTCAAATTAGGAAATCTTTAAAAATAATTTTTAGGATAATCCTAACAGAGAAGACTTGGAGGAATAGAATCAAATTCAATTTTACACCATCCTTAGAAATACATTTGAGATGGTAAAAATACAAAATGAAAATCGAGAACAGAATTTACATTAGGTAGCACTTTATATGCCTACATGTAAAGAAAGGTGGAAACCATAAATAAAGCTGCTGATGGATTTTTTCAGAGGTAAAAAAAATTAAGTGGTTAAAGAAATTTTTTTTTTTAAGTAGTAAACTGGGAAATCATTTAAAAACACAGCCCCCAAAACTACTGCCATAGAGTTGATTCCACTCATGATGACCCTGTTGGGTTTCTGAGATGATAAATCTTTACAGAAGCATCTTTCTCCTGAGGAGCGCCTGGTGGGTTTGAACCACTGACCTTGCAGTCCAACACTCACCTGATAGGCTATCTTTTTGAACACTATTGTAAACTAGCACAAGGACAATCGGCAAGGAAGAGAAGGCCCATCTTCCCCCATGGAGCAGCTGGTGATTTAGAACTGCTGACCTTACAGAGGGTTCTTTAAAATCCAGTATGTAGGCCTGAATGCGCTCCATCTGAGAGGGTTTTAAAAAGGTAATGGAAGTATTTCATTATCTTTTCATTCCATTTTCCATGAGCTTTTTGAAGCCTCTTCATATACACGTAGAGATAGAGTAAGTATATGGGTATGCGCATATATATTTATTCCTAGCTACAGACTTAAAAAAACTATTCACAAAAAAGGTTGGAAGGTTATATTCCAAAATATAACCTTGAGTTATATGATTAAGAATGAACTGTGTTGTAACCTTATCGGCCTATTATTTTTATCGCCTCTTAAAGTCTAATATAGTTTTGACATAGGTACATATATTTATATGGCAATACATTGAGGAAGTGGACACACTTTGGGCCTCTGCTCCAGCCCTCCAACGCAAGAGCACTTGGTTCTAACATGGTATTCTGTGATGCTCACCCTCCCTGCACGGTCACTGAAGACATAAGGGGTACACAAGCAAATGTGGGAAAGAAAGCTGGTGGTGCCTGGCTATTAAATGATATAGTGCCTGGGGTCTTGAAATTTAAAAATGGCCATCTAGCAGAGAAGCAACAAGCCCGCATGGAGGAAGCACACCAGTCTGTGTGATCATGAGGTGTCAGGTAATAGACATCGGAAAACCCAAAACAAACACACACAAAAACATTGTTGAGAACGAGGTGGGTCAGAGCAGAGACCTAAAACCCATCTGCAGACAGTGGGACATCCCCTCACAAGGAAGGGATGAGTCAACCAGGGTGAAGTATAGCACTGATGACTCACAATGTTCCTCTGATCCCTTGAGGCTTCCTCACCCCCACCCTCATGACCACAATCCTGCCTTTCACTGTGGTTTAGGCTGGAGCATGTACACAGGTCCAGATAAGAGCTCTGGACACATGGAATCCAGGTCAGATAGCCTCCCATCAGGAACAGAAATGGAAGTAGTGATACCAGGAGGGTAAGGGAGGAGGGGGGAAGGAGACAGCAGTCAGTGTAAGATATGAAAATAATAATTTATAAATTATCAAGGGGTCAACAGGGTGTGGGGGGAGGAGGAAAAAGAGCTGATACCAAGGAGTCAAATAGAATGTAAATGTTTAGAAGATGATGGCAACATATGTACAAATATGCTTGATAAAATTGATGTATGGATTGTTACAAAAGCTGTTAAGAGCCCCCAATAAAATGATTTTTAGAAGTAAAATAAAATATAAGAAGTGTCCTTTATTATTGCCATGCTTGTGTAATTTAGTACTTTAATGAAAGTGAATTAATAGGATTGCAATGTCGTTTCTTTTCAGAAAGTATCCTTTTGTTCTTTCCAAACAGTTCCATCAGAGCCCCTTTGTGCGGCCAAGTAGCCCGAAGACACCAGTCAGTAAGCAGTGCACGCTGACACGTCTTCCGTTTGCAAGGTAATGTCTTCAGAGGTGACTTGTAAACTTCTCTGTAAATGGAACTTTGAGTAGTTTTATTTGGCCTGCTTCCTTGAAATATAGAAAACATTTAAAACTAAATAATGAAATACTTGTTAACACTTTGTTCTAACAATCCGGTATTCTATGATGCTCACCTTCCCAACACAATTGCTGAAGACAAAATGGGTGCATAAGCAAATGTGAAGAAAGCTGATGGTGCCTGGCTATCAAAAGATATATTGTCTGGGGTCTTGAAGGCTTGAAGATAAACAAGCGGCCATCTAGCTGAGAAGCAACAAAGTCCACATGGAAGAAGCACACCAACCTGTGTGATCAAAACCATGCCCAAGGTGAATGGGGTGGAGATGAGCCAGTCAGGATGCAGTATAGCACCGATGAAGCACGCAACTTTCTTCTAGTTATTTGGTGTTTCCTTCACCCCACTATCATGACCTCAGTTCTGCCTTACAAACTGGATTAGACCAGAGCATGCACACTGCTACAGATAAGAGCCCACAACACAGGGAATCCAGGATAGATAAACCCCTCAGGGCCAACAATGAGAGTAGAGATACCAGTAGGATTAGGGGATGGTGTGGGGAGAATGGGGGAAACAATCACAAGGATCAACCTAGGGGGACAAATAAAGGAAAAGTGGGCGAGGACCAACGGAGGGGAAAGAAATGGGGAGCTGATATCAGGGGCTCAAGTGGCAAGAGAATGCTTTGAAAATGATGATCGGCTTGACACATTGGGTGAATGTATGGATTGTGATAGATGTAAGAGACCCCAATAAAAGTATTTTATAATAATAATAACGGAAATACTTGTTAAATTAACATTGCACTGATAAAAGCAATTGTATGCATAATCTAATAAAATTTATTTTAAACTTTGAAATATATTCAATTTTTCCATAAATAATAGAAAATGGGGCATTTCTATGTTTTAATTTTCTCATCTGTTAACTTGTGGCATAGCGATCACATACTGGGCTGCTGAGCTCAAGGTAAGCCTTTGGAGACCACCAGCTGCTGGCCAGCCGAAAGCTCTCGGAGGCCTCCTCCTCTGAAGGAGCCTCTCTGGGAGACCCACGGGTAGGGCAGCGCTGCCTCGTCCTCTAGGGTCAGCTCGATGGCAGGAAGTTTGGTTTTGAGTTTATTAACTTGCTACCTTTTACTGTGCCTGTATCATTGCCTTCCTGATAGCGACATTCACCCTTGATTTACTATACTGACACCAATGATCACATGCTACTTCTTCAATGGTACGAGTGCCTCAGAACACGTTGAAAGCACCACAGGCCCAGTCGTGCCTGGTTGTTGTGTCTTTTCATTTTGCATGTGTTTTCATCGCATGGGCCATTACTGTCGCCTGTACTCATTTATGACCTACATATTTACCTTTCCTATTGTTCACATCCGTTTCTGCACTTTTACATTCCTTTCTGAAAGAATTGTCCTTCTGCCTGAAGAAACCCTCGGTTATTTCCTTTCTTGCAGATTGACAGGCTGTTGTTTCCTTCTCTCGTTTCTCAAGGCAACATCTTTGTTTCACCTTCCTTTTGAAGACTAAAGATGACATTGCTACCAATTGGCTTTAGATTTTCATAAATATTTTTCAATGTTTTTTTCATTATCAAGAATTTCTAAAAGTTTTTTTTCTTTTCTTTTGAGGGTATGTAGAAAGATCTTTAGCATTGGGGAATATTACTCTTTACACTTTTATATCAAGAATGTTTCTTTAGCAAATAATTACTGTGGGTTTGTCTCCAATTTTCTATTATATACTTAACCCATTTAGGAACATGGCTTTGTTTCATGAGTCCTTTTTTAGAAACATAATAAATGTATTTCTCATAAAACCTTACATACAATTATACTTGTTAGAAGCCAGAGGAAAAGTTTTGAGTATTCCATAGAATTAAACACTAGAAAAGTATAAATAGGATATGTAGATGTTTGTTAAGTACGTTTGAATTTTGTTCATATCTTTTGTATTGTTATCCTAATAGCCCAACTCACGCTTATGGGGATAGGAAGCATTCCTATTTCACTTCAAGTTCTGTTTTACTAGCAACTGCTCATTTTCCTACCTGTAATTGTGTTCAGTAAGCACATAAAGATTCCTGGGGGTGGCGCTGAGGCCGGGTAGTAAATTATAGGAACATAGAAAGCACTGTTCGTGCAATCTTAAAAATAATTTTTATGAGATATAAAATCCCTTATTCTAGAATTTCCCACTTGTTTCTAGGGTCCCATTAACTTCAAATGATGATGATGGTGACGATGATGATAAAGAGAACATGCAGAAAGATAGCAATTTTATGTCAAAGTCAACACCTGATCCTTACTCATTGGTATCAACAAAGCAACCTTTACCAGCCCAATATCCCCTGGAATTAACACTTCTTAAAGAAAAGAACCAGAATGTGCATGATTTAGAAGATGCAGATATACTTTCCAAAGGTAAAATTGTTTTTTTTTTTTAAAAACAAAAACTCTTAGTAGCAGAATAAAATAGTTTAATCAGAATTTCTTGAGGTTGGTGATGTACATTTAATAAGTTAGATCTCTTACAGATTTACTAACTTCTACCATTCTCACTGCTGATGAAAAATTTTGAAGCATATTTCAGTAATTGTCAGATCTACAGTACCCTTAAGAATGTTTTCTTGGAGTCCTATTACATGAATCAAAATATCCAAGGTGCTCATTTAGTTTCCCCTTCTTTTTGCGGTAAAAACATTGGCTTCTACCTATGTATAGTGACTTTCTCAAGATCATAACCTTTCCACGTTAAAACAAAAGCTTGAGTCGGGGTAAAAGTTGAGCAGGAGAAAATGATGATGTTTTTATTCATACAGTGTTTCTAAATGATAATCCTAGCTTATAGATTCTTGTGTTTATGTATTTTCAGATTGGAATAGGGAATCATAATTATATTGACTTTGGAGTATGAGTTATTTTTTCTTTAACTTTCTGAAAAGTTAAATATATTTACATAAACTTTAGTGGCCGATGGGCAGCTTTCTGATAATTATCTTTATCAGAGCGATCACTGCATCTTAGGTCCATTTGCTCTCCCCTTTAGAAATATCTTAGTGCCTATAATGTTGGCTGTGCTCCGTCCTATATTGTTGAGGAGGCTGGACCTCAGTGAATTTTCAACATATATTTTCCAGATATATGAATGTAATGTGGCTTATGAATATTTTGATGACTTCCACTTTATTTTTATCAGCATGAATTCTTAGTATAACCAGGATAACAGAACTCATGACAGAAATCCTATCTTTAAGTTTGCTTTCTAATCTCATTTCTTTAACATCATAAATTCATTTAACATCATAAATTCCTTCTCATTTAACATCATAAATTCCTTTTCATGACTTCTTTGTTTCTATTTTTTGTCTAGAAAGCCATCCCCATTCAGAGCAGAGTTCTAAGAGTTCCCTGGTGAGTGAGAGGCACCGTGTGCAGTGTGTCAGCCACAGAAAGGATCAGCGCTCTTCTAGTAAGGTGACTGAAAGAAAGAGGCATGTGCCATCGAGAGTGTCAGACGAGCCCACTGCGGACACCCCTTTTGTGACAGAGTTAGGTCAACCACTGACTCCAAGTCCAGGTGTCCACTGGAGTGAGGAGATTCCTGACCAAACTCAGGAGGCAAATATGAAAATCCAAGGAGAGGTACAGTGCCTTCCTGGCTCGTCTTCCAAGTCTGTGGATGAGCCTGCCACAGAGGGCGTTCACAAAGTCCAGGGGAACGATGACTTACAATTGCAGAAAACGGTGTATTACGATGCTGACATGGACTTAACTGCTGGTGAAGTAAGCAAGATTATTACAGTTTCAACACGCATCCAAACTAGAAGTAATAAAGACACAAATGGCTCTGAAGTGAAAACTTTCAGAAGGGTGAAAGATTCGAGCTCTAAAAAAAAGAAAGAAAGATTAAAAAGACAAGTGAAAAGTAGTGTAGATGTAGCTAGTGAGGAGAAGAATGAAAACAGGCAAGAAAGCTCTGTTGTTGCCAATGGTATAGGTGCTTCCGAAGATCCAGATTTTATTTGCGGTTCTGAACAGCTGACTCAAGTGAATCTGCTGCAGAAAGGAACCCTCCGTAAGGACTTGGACGAAGATGACAGACAGCGCATACAGTGTAACAAAAAGAAAGGTACACACTTAATGAATGAGCAAGAGGAAACATGCGCTCCCCCCCACAGTTCTGATAAATCCCAGCAGGAGACTAACCGGGATACAGGCCAGCTTTCCTTTACTTGCCCTAAAAGTAGAGCTTCAAGACAGACATTTGTGATCAATAAGTTTGAAAAGGGTAACTTACTCTTAAGCCAAACGGATAAAGAAACCATTTGTGAAAAGCTAGAAGTTACAAATGAATGTCCAGCAGCTGATCTTTCCACCAAAGATCATGGAAATCTCCATGCTCCTGAGACCCAGAACATGTGGGGCTTGAAAGAACCTGTTGCTGACGTGCAACCTGCTCAGCAGAATGAATCTAAAGCGAATAAGAAGCTTAGGCAGAAAACAAATCGGAAAACAGAAATAATTTCTCAAACAAAGCAGAGATCAGAGAATTATGATAACAATGCCCCTGAACTTGAAATAGAAGACATTTTCTTCCAAACTCAACAGACTAAAGAAACTGTCCCCGGCAATGTAGGGGTCTCAAGTGAGTTCCGTGCTCCGGTGCGCTCCATCAGAGGTGATAGAAACCTATGCAATTGGGAGGTCCAGAATGGGGACTTAGATGATTATGGGACCCAGGGCATGCTGGGCTTGAAAAGGCGTGTCACCAATATGCAGCCTGCTCAGCACAACGAAGTGAAAGTAGATAAGAAGGTTAGGCAGAAAACAAATCGGAGAACAGAAATAATTTCTAAAATAAGCCAAATGCATGAGAATAATGTTAACGGTACGCATGACCCTGAAACAGAAGACTTTTTCTTTCAAGCCCCAGAGAATAAAGAAACCATCTCTGGGAATGCAGACGTCTCAAGTGAGTTTCAAACACTGCCTCTCTCCACCAGAGATAATAGGAACTTGTACAACTGGGAGATCCCACATGTGCTGGGTGTGCAAAAGCAGATCCTAGATAGGTACCCAGTGGAGAAAAATGAGTCCAAAGTCAATAAGAAGCTTAGGCAGAAAGTGAGTCGGAAGACAGAAATAATTTCTGAAACGAACCATAGAGATCCCGACAAAGGTGGGCTTTGCGCAGAAAATGACAGCTTTGTGTTCCAAAAGGAGGACTCAAGTGGGTTTCCCACACCTGCTCTTTATACCAAAGATAGCGGAAGTCTCTGTCATACTGGGACCCCGACACGTCGGGGGGCGAAAAAGCCTGCCCCTGATGTGCAGACTGCTGGTCAGAAGGAGTCAGAAATGCCCAAGAAGCTGGGGAAGAAGGTAGGTAGGAAGACGGAAGTCATTTCTGAAATGAACCAAATAAATGAGAATAACCTAGAGAGAGGGAACTTACTTTCTGTAACCCAGAAGGAGAACAAAACCATCCCTGAAAAGCCGGAAGATGCACATGAGTTTCAACTAGCTGATTCTGCCACCGGAGGTCAGAGGACTGTCTGCGATGATGACACCCAGAGCATGCTGGGCTTGAAAAAGCGTGTCGCTGCTCAGCAACATGAACAAAAAGTCAGTAAGAAGCCCAGGCAGAAAGCAAACCGGAAAACAGAAATCATTTCTGAAGTGAACCAAATAAATGACTATAATAGCAGATATGCATGTGACCCAGTCAAAGGCAACTCCTTTTCCCTTACCCCAAAAGATAAAGAAGACTTTTTAGAAGACTTAGAAATCATCAATGAATTTCAAACAACCCATCTTGCCACCAAAGAGAATAGAAACGTATATGATTATGGAACCCAGAATATGTGGGGCTTGAAAAAGCGTGTCCCGGATAAGCAACCTGCTCAGCAACATGAATCAAAAGTAAATAAGAAATGTAGGCAGAATCGGAAAACAGAAATAATTTCTGAAATAAACCAAATATATGAGGATAATGACAAAGCCAGGCATAGCCCAGACAGCCATACAAACCATCTTGATTTTAAAATAAGTAAGTCTAAACGGAGACGTGAAAGCCAGGACATTAACAATAGACACTGTATGGAAATCAACAGTAATGAAAAAGAAAATTGGGATCATATTTCAAATCCTTACAAACTAGTTCAAAAGCACAGGAAAGAGTCATCCGGCAGGGCAAAGACCATTGTGGCTAACTGTAAGCACAATCCTGTCTTGCCAATAACAGGTTCTCCACAGAATTCTATCTCCTTAGAATTGGGTTTAAAACAAACTAGTAGTGAGTTAGATTCTAATTCTAGAAACGAACTTGAACTACATAAGAATCAGAGGCAAAGCACTTCAACTGTGAACAAAAAGAGAAAGTGCCCCTTTGTGGAAGTGATGGAAGGAGGATGCCAGGACCAAAAGGCAAATAAAATGACCTCCCAATCAAAGAAAAGGAAGACTGTCCCCGGTCCTTGTCCTGGGAGTCTCGAAGTAACGGAGCTAACATCGTCCACTCTCCAGGGCGAGTCAGTCCAATTGGGACAAGTTGATAAGGACAAAAACTTGGACATTGAGAATATTGTCAACACCAAGCTAGATTTTCACAGAAAGAAGTCTAAGCCTTCGTCTCAGATACGTTTACCTCAAGTACAAGATTCTTCCTGTAAAGCTGTTCTGGCGGATTCAGTCCAGTTGAGTTTTTCTCCTAGAAGATGTTCAATCAATGGAAGTTTTGACCTAGCAGACACACCAGTCCTTCAAGTCTGTGATGATGTCCCTGAAAAGAAGGGAGAGGTGAAAGGGACAGTGAACCGGAGGACACACCAGTCTGCAGCAGGTGGGTCCACGCCCGCCGGGATGGGGCTTTAGAAGTTAACATTGTCCCTCCTTTCCCATGGCCAGCAAGGCATTTCCTGCTTTCACTGGTACTTTTATGTAATTTAAAAACAGTATACACCTGTGTAAGTTCAACTACTAAAACCACATAAAGGAAGGGATTTTCCTTTTTTTTAAGTTGAATTATTAGGGAAAATAGCAGTGAATAGATTTACTTACAGTCTACAAAACAGACTTGTCCTGTTATCAAGAATTTGCCTATTGATAGCTTTACACCGATAATTTCTTTTTTCACTTATTCAAAGGAAATTGCACATTTGAAGTGAAAACAATGAATTGCACGTGTTTTATTTTTACCAAAGACAATGACATGTTTCCTAAGAGTGGGAACTTTTTCTCCATTCAGTAGCACTTCTATTTAATGTGATGGAAGGATTTGACTAGGTGTTTTAAAGGTTTAAAACAAATACCACTACCTTTCCTCTGCACACAGTTACGTAAACATAATAGTGTGAAATGTATCTGATGCTTTAATAAAGGCACAGACATGCTGAAAGAGTATGATGAAGAGTAGTTTTGACTAGAGGAATTAACAAATACATCATGAACCAAGTGGTATTTCAAGCCTTGAAGTAGGGTGGGTAGGAGTGTTTACCCTTAGTGTTCCCTTTTTGTTTTTCTCCAGTTATTAAAATAATAACTAACTCATAGCAAAAAGTTGAAGATAAAGAATCAGGGGCTGAGGCTGGGAGTCACCAGCCACTAACGTTAACTTCCACTTATAGATCGCTTAACATTTTGACATACATCCAGACTTCAATGTGAAGATTTTAAAATAAATATTAGAGGTCATACTATATATACATTTTTTATCCTATTTATCCCCCCACCTTAAATTAGGCATTTCCTTATCAAGACTTTCTACAGGTTCTCAACCTTCCTAATGCCAGGACCCTTTAATACAGTTCCTCGTGTTGTGGTGACCCCCTAACACTTTCGTTGCTACTTCATAACTGTAATTTTGCTACTCTTATGAATTGGGCGACCTCTGTGAAAGAGTCGTTCGACCCCAAAAGGGTCGCGGCCCACAGGTTGAGAACTGTTGTTCTGCAGGGAAGCTACCATTTCCATATATGCTTACAGAACACTAGGATTTGGGTGGATAGGGCTGTTCCAGGTAAAAGACTCATTGAAGCAAAGGTAATTCAGAGGACTGGGATTGGAGGGGATGTTGGAGAGCTGAACCACCCCCTCCTCTCTCTCCAGGGCTCCTTTCCCAGAGTGAGCAGTCAGTGAACTCAGTGTAGAGTCTTTGAATTGGCCTGAATGGTAATGAATTTTTGTCAGCCTATGTGTGATAACGGAATAAATGTTGGAGGCCACTTTTGATGGTTTGTTGTGAATTCTAAGTCTATTTTCCTCTCAAATTGTTAGAAAAAGATGAACTGATGTACAGCTGTTTTTATGAGTACTATTGTATATAAAGGAGCCCTGGTGGTGCTGGGGGTTAGGCGTTGGACTGCGAACTGCAGCAGCTCCATGGGTGAAAGCTGCCTGCTCCTACAAAGAATGGCCATCCAGAAGCCCGATGTAGGGTTGATATAAGTTAGAATCAGGATTTGGGGGGTTTGTTTATTGTAATATTTAAAATTCGATCATTGTTAAGATAGAAATTGTGTTGCCTATGGTTTGGAGACTACTATTTATTTCCATATCTTTAGGATTTTTTACAAATATTAGTGAAAACATACTCTTTTTCAGGTTATAGAATGCTACAGGACTTGACAAATACCAGCTTTGTTTCAAATAACACTCCTAAATCTGAACGTATAGCAGAAGATCTATCTTCAGAACTTCCAGGCAGAAGAAGAAGATGTGTTCCTCTCTCTTTGAAAGAGCCAAGTCTCAAAGGGTTAGTATCACTGTGAGATCAAAGTGCTTTTCCTCTATTATGATAAAATACACGAGCCCGGTGGCACTGTCAGGCAAGTATTAGGCCACGATTCACAGTGTCAGCAGTTCAAACTACCAGTCACTTCACAGGAGAAAGATGAGGCTAGCTGCTCTCAGAAAGATGTACAGTCTTGGAAATCCTGTAAAGACCCAAATAACTATCAGATTGTTAAATGCATACCACTTTGTAAATAATCCAAGCCAGCATCAGTATTTGACATTTCTGAATAGTAATGGAACGTACATTGCATGGGGACTGTTAAGTTGCTGCCTTGTCCTGTAGAATTCTGAACTGTGAGGGAGACATCCTTGAGTCTGCATCCTATTTCTCAAATTGTCGGCCACTAATTTTAACATCCACCGATAGGTCTCGCCTGCAACAATTAGAATGATGCTTGCATAATATTTCCTCTTTTTCTTCTACAATTCAAAGTCTTCTGTAAAGAAGAAAGAAGAGCCATTTTTTCTCATTTATTTATATCACGCCAGACTCGTATCTATTTGAAATTGAATTTATGTAAATCCAATTTATTCCAATATTTACTCTTTTGCCAAAATTTATTCCTGTTTGACCATTCCCTTTAGTTAGCTCTTCAGTCGTTTCAGCAAGACATCGTACTGTTTGAACATTTCTTTATTTTCTGATATAAAAGATGGTTCAGACTCATGTAACATTTTCATTCAGTAACCTGGGAGAATGAACTAATCTTAAAAGAAAATATAAGGTTACTGGGTAAAACAAACAAACAATTAGACCAAGCTTTGAATGCCCTTGCTAACTAGTTAGTAGATACAGAAGAAAGATGCCCGATTGTGCTGTGGGCTCTCATTAGAATGCTAACTAAGATCAGCAGTTCAAACCCACCATCTTGCTCCCTGGGAGAAGGATGAGGCCACAGCTCATAAAGATTTACAGCCACAGAAACCCTATCCAATGGCACTAAGTAGAAATAAACTCAATGGCAGTGGGCTGGGTTGGGTTAGGAACAGAAAAAAAACTCTCCTATCAGGAACCTAATGAGAGAAGAACCCAGAGAGGCAGGTGGAACTTGCAACTGGATTTTTTAGCCTTAGGGAGCAGAGAAGCAAAATAAATCCACTGGAATGAAGAGCCTTAATATTAGGTATCTTTTAATAAAGCTAGGTAACTCCAGTAGAAGCACAAACTAAAAATTATCTCCCCGCCACCCTTTCAGTCCCAGGAAAGGAACCCTGGTGCTGACTGGAAGAAGAAAAGAAACTTCCCTGAGAATTTATAACCATGACCCCGCCCTCATGCAGACTGCAGCTGGGCCCACACTGTCTGGAAGACCCAGAGTGCTTGCAGCCGAGGCGTTAGTCGAGGTCTCCCTGACTGGTCCTGCACGTGGTATATGTGAGAGGGAGTGCAGAGACTCTAGAGCAGTGGTTCTCAACCTTCCTCATGCCGCCACCCTTTAATACAGTTCATGTTGTGGCGACCCCCGACCATCAAATTATTTTCGTTGCTACTTCATAACTGTCATTTTGCTACTGTTACAAGTCAGGCGACCCCTGTAAAAGAGTTGTTCAACCTCCAAAGGGGTCACGACCCACAGGTTGAGAACTGCTTCTCTAGAGGAACCCCCTTCATCTCAGGCCTCACCATAGTTTCCACAGATCAAGCCGCCAGGGAACCCAACAGCTAGCTCACAGTAGAAAGAAGAGTAGGCACACAAGGCACCAGAAGACAACAGACAGGCGATGTATGCTGACACTTTCAAGAAGTAAACCAGAGAGGTTTTTTTATTTTCTTTAATTAAATAATTTTATTGGGGGCTCTTACATCGCCCATCACAATCCATACATTCATCCATTGCATCAAGCACATATGCTGCCATCATCATTTTCAAAGCAGTTTCTTTCTACTTGAGCCCTTGATATCAGCTCCTCATTCCCCCCACCCCCACCCCGCTCGTCCTCCCTCATGAGCCCTTGACAAGTTGCAGATTATTATTTTCATATCTTACACCGTCCTCAATTCAGAGAGTTTGGTAGATGAGTAAAGAATGTTGAGTGAAAAAGCAGATTACAGAGAAGCACATACAGTAAGGAGTGCAGTACACAGATAGGAAGAAAAGTGTCCAGGAAAGCAGAGAAACAATGAGCACAGTTGAGAGTGTTCCTTCCTCCAGAGGAGAAGGATGTGCTGACTTCTGACAGGTGGTAGTGTATTTCTTAGCCTGGATAGTAGGTACGTGAGCACTTAATTTATTGTTTTTAAATGGTACGTGCTCGAAGTTTCTGTATGCATGCTAAAGTTCATACTAAAAATGTGGTATATAAAATTTAATATGTAAAATCCACATTGACTAATTTTTCTGATAAGCCTGATTTCTATCTTTGAGTTTTTCAAATCCCTTGCCAAGTTGGTGGTCTGGGGAACTGGTATGACACAGCAGTATTCTCTGTGCTCCCGGCAGATACGTTACTTTAGGGTTGTTGCTATTGTTAATTCTTTTTCTGCTTTGCAGGAAGATGAGAAGATGAGGTAGATTTCTGGATACTCATTTTCTGAATTCTTCGAGCATAAAGCATCAAACAGATACAATTGAGATCCAGAGGATGAAACACATGTGCAGTCCCCGCCCCCCCCCATCATTTACCTTTCATTGGAATATTGGTTGGCTCATTCTTATGTTTAGACACATATATGTGTGTATGTGGATATAAATATGTATATATATATGTATATGGAACAGTTCTTTTGTAATATTAATCTCTTAAAATAATTTTGGTTATCATATAGCTTATCTGTCTCTTCCTTTAAACCACTTTCTAACTAAGAGCTTTAAACCAAGTAATAACTGTGATCCTTTTAGCCAAATAAAATAAATCAATGAATATTACAGCTTTGGTTCCTTTGTCATACACCGAACTATCTTATCTTTTTTGAACCATTCAGTATATGATAAGATCCAAAAGGGCTTACAAGTCTTCACGTCATAGTCAGTTTCCTCTGCTTGTAGGTGCCAGCTCCTCCCTGCTTTCGTTCTATAATAGGGTACATTTGGTGATTTGGGTAGGGGAGCGGGGGAAGGGGATTAACTCATCAGGCTCTTGAATTTAGTTTTTATGATTTTAAAGATTGCTTACTATTTCCAAGCAAGAGCAATAAATCCTATTCATATCTGTGATCAATGCTTATACTTTATTCACATTCTATTCTGCCTTAGAAGTAAAAGCTTTGGAAGTCTTTTTCAGCTACAAGAACTCCGTTAGCCCCTGAGGCATTAATAGCTGAACAGTACCCTCCCCTCAGATTTCACCTCCAAATTTCTGGTTTCTAATAATCCCAATCTCTTCCCCTCTCACCCCAGTTGGTTCCTCTATACTGCTGGAGGGAATGCAAAATAATTGAACTCTTGGATATAGATATAATTTTGACAGCATTTACCAAAATGGTGCCCTGGATTCTATATGTCGAGAGCTCTTATCTGGACTAGCCAGATATATAAGGTAGAACTGGGGGGGGGGGGGGGGGGGGCATTAACTAGAGGAATGTTATGTGTTTTGTCACTGCTATATTGCACCTGGCTGCTCATCCCTTCCTTGTGATCCTCTGTGAGGGGATGTCCAATTGTCTACAAAGGGCTTTGGGTCTGTCTCCATTCTTACCCCCCTCATTCACATCAAAATGGTTGTTTGTTTGAGGTCTTCTGATACCTTATCCAGTCGACACCTTGTGATCACCCAGGTTGGTGTGCTTCTTCTATGTGGGTTTTATTGCGTCCCTGATAGATGACCACTGTTTTATCTTCAAGCTTTTAAGACCCCAGATGCTATATATGTTAGTCTGAGTACTTTAGAGAAATAAATCCACAGAAACTCATTTGTATAAGAGAGAGTTTTATATAAAGCGTAAATGCACATCAAGAAAACATCCCAACCCAGTGCTGCGCAA